AAAAACGTATCATTCTTTGAGAAACGTTCTTGTGTTGTGAAGATTCCCACAAACCTTCCACAGCTATGCCATCTTTACTCCTGGAATGGAGACCACACACCATCCAATGTTGACTTTTTTAAAGTCAAGTAGGACGATATCTTAATGGGACGCGGTGGCTCAGTGGCTAAGATGCTGAGCTTGTCGATCAGAAATGCCGGCAGTTCGGCGGTTCGAATCCCTAGCGCCGTGTAACTGAGTGAGCTCCCGTGACTTGTCCCAGCTTCTGTCAACCCAGCAATTCGAAATCACGTAAAAAAAAATGCAAGTAGAAAAATAGAAGCCACCTTTGGTGGGAAGGAAACAGCGTTCCATGCGCCTTCGGGGGCTTGAGTCATGCCAGCCACATGACCACGGAGATTTCTTCGGACAGTGCTGGCTCTTCGGCTTTGAAACGGAGATGACATCGCCCCCTAGAGTCAGGAATAGGACAATATCTTGGATTAATCCCGTTCATCTCAGTTGCAGATCATATTCTGCCTCTACAGTAGATCTGTGAAAAATTCTATTTTTGGAGCAGACTATTCCGGGGGATTCCAGAACTTTCCATCTTTTCTCCAGACCACAATTGAGGGACTTGGAACATGCTAACTTGGCTCTCCCAAACCACTTCCTGTTCCAGAAGATTGGCTTTTTAAAAAGTGCCAAACCATCCCCCAAACAGCCGGATTGGCCTGGTCAGAACGAAGAATAGATTGAGCAAGGGAATATTTTTCATCCACTTAGGTCAGAGGTGTCCAAACCTGGGAACTTTTAAGACTTGTGGACTTCAACTCCCAGAACTCCCAGGAACTCTGGGAGTTGAAGTCCACAAGTCTTAAAGTTCCCAAGTTTGGACACGTCTGACTTAGGTAGTCATCGACTTACAATCACAATTGAGCACTGAATTTAGTCACTTGGCAACTAGCTCATTTTTATGATTGTTGCCATGTCCTGGGATTGCGTGATCCGCTTTTGCGGCCTCGTGACAAGCAGAATCAATGGGGAAATCCAGATTCACTTAACAGCTGTATTACTGGCTTAACCAATGATTCATTTACCCTGAAAAAATAAGACCTCCCCAAATAATAAGCCAAATCGGGCTTTTGAGAGCATGCACTAAAATAAGCCCCCCCCAAAATAAGCCCTCCCTGGAAATACTGCAGCAACACAGCAGCAGCCATGAGGTGACCACGCTCACCACCTCCTGCACCCTAAAAATAATAAGATCTCCCCAAAAATAAGACCAAGCGCTTATTCCAGGGGATCAAAAGAAAATAAGACCCTGTTTTAGTTTTGGGGAAATAAGGTAATAACCGTGGCAACAGAGCAGGGAAAATGGGATGAAATTCACTTTTAACAACTGTCTCACTTGGCAAGAGCAACATTGGGCCAAAATTGTGGTCATAAGTCAAGGACTACCTGGATTATGATGTTTATGATGGTTGCCATGACCTGACCTCCAAAGCAAAGTTAATGGAGAAGCCGGATTCACTTAATGCTCAGAGGGTTTTCGCTTCACAACTGCAGAAAGGTCGTAAAATGGGGCAAAGCTCAGTTAATAACCGTCTTGCATAGCAATGGAAATGTGGGCCTCAAGTGTGGTCATAAGTCGAGGACTACCTGTGCCATGGTGGAATTCAATCACAGCATACCAACTGATAGAAAGTTTCTACCCTTATCTTCTTTTTCCCTCACCTCTTCTTGAGTACCCACACCTACAATTGTTGTGTCTGTCACTTCAACTCATGACTCCATTGTCTGTTCATTCTTTTCCCTTCCCTTCCTTCATGTCTTCTCTTTTCTTCCAATTCTCTGCTCTCGTCCACAGGTCTCCAAACTTGGAGACTTTAAGGCTTGTGGATTTCAACTCCCAGAATCCCCCAGCCAGCATAGGGAATTCTGGGAATTGAAGTCCCTAAGTCTTAAAGTTGCATAGTTTGGAGACCCCATGGACTAGTTCCCCCTTGGACACAGCAACAGAAGATGTGTGTTTTGCTGATTTGGGGAGAGTCCACCCACCGTTTTAATTCTTCGGTACATGAAATGTTCTGCGAGGCCAAAAAAAAAAAAAGATACTATTTTCTTTCTTTGCCGTGAAGAAAACAAAAACAGCCGCTGCCCATTTTCTCCCTGACGCATTTCACACACTACATCTCAATTAAAGTAGTTAAAATGTTCAATCAATCAATCAATCTGTCATCGTTTCTCCTATCTTGTTTTCCATACATTGAGCTATTTGTATGTAATCCATTTAATTAGGTGGCCCCCCCATCTCCGTAAAATACACACCAACCCCAAAGGTGTTTTACATATACACACGCAAACACACACACACACAGTGCTAAGTACATAAACAGAAATGAAAGATACTTTTTCTGTGGCTACAGTACATAAACATAAATGAAATCTATTGTTTGAAAGGTTATTTATTGTTAACCTGCCTTTGTCATTCTTGCAAGTAAAATTCAACGCAGCAAATATATCTAATTCCTTTCCCCCTTCTACTTTCCTCACAATGAAAACAGCCCTTTGAGGATAGGTTGGACCGTGAGAGAGAGAAGGGCTGGTTCATATCACCCAGCTGGCTTTCATGCCTAAGGTAGGACTAGAACTCTCAGTCTCCTGGTGATTGGCTTAAAGTCACTCAGCTGGCTTTCATGCCTAAGATAGGACTAGAACTCTCCATTTCCTGTTGATTGGCTTAAAGTTGGCTTTCCTGCCTAAGGTAGGACTAGAATTCTCCGTCTCCTGGTGATTGGCTTAAAGTTGGCTTTCCTGCCTAAGGTAGGACTAGAATTCTCTGTCTCCTGGTGATTGGCTTAAAGTCACCCAGCTGGCTTTCATGCCTAAGGTAGGACTAGAACCCTCCATCTCCTGATGATTGGTCCCACTCATGTCTACAAGACAGGACAGTAAGTATAAACATGGGCATTTGGTCGACCCACAAACCTGATTCGGTTTTTCAGAATGCCTCCCTTATCACAGCCCTTCGCAACGTTTTCCAAAGAAGAAGGAAGATATTGACATGTCCTCAAATTGGAAAGCAAATCAGTGCATAGAATAACTGAATAACAGAGTTGGAAGGGACCTTGGAGGACTTCTAGTCCAACCCCCTGCTCAGGCAGGAGATCTTATACCATTTCAGACAAATGGCTGTCCAGTCTCTTCTTAAAGACTTCCAGTGTTGGGGCATTCACAACTTCTGCAGGCAAGCTGTTCCACTGATTAATTGTTCTGACTTTCGGAAATTTCTCCTCACTTCTAGGTTGCTTCTCTCCTTGATTAGTTTCCACCCATTGCTTCTTGTCGTGCCCTCAGGTGCTTTGGAGAATTGTTTGACTCCCTCTTCTTTGTGGCAGCCCCTGAGATATTGGAAGACTGCTATCATGTCTCCCCTGGTCCTTCTTTTCATTAAACAAGACATATCCAGTTCCTGCAGCCGTTCTTCATATGTTTCAGCCTCCAGTCCCCTAATCATCTTTGTTGCTCTTCTCTGCACTCTTCCTGGAGTCTCCCCATCTTTTTCACATCTTGGCGACCAAAACTGGATGCAAATATTCCCAAGGAAGTCTTATCAAGTCAAACCACCTTTGGAATTGCGCAGCCACCTAGTTGCATCCTAGAACTCACTGTAACAGCATTGCCATTAAGAGTTGTTAACTTAATTTCGCGAAGTTTCTTTTTCGGCAACACTCTATTGCTAACTAGGGCATACAAAACCTTTGCCAGACCAATTCTCAGATACAGCTCGTCTGTCTGGAATCCTCGCTGTTTAAGGGGCATTAGTACAATTGAGCGAATCCAGAGGTATTTCACGAGGAGGGTACTCCACTCCTCTTGCTCACAATAGAATCTCTTATGCCACCAGGCTTGAAATTTTGGGATTGGACAACCTATAACTTAGCCGTTTACAGTCTGACTTAAGCATAGTACAGAAAACTGTCTGCTACAAAGCCCTATGTCGATGACTTCTTCAGCTTCCACCACAATAATACGCGGGGAAACAATAGATCAGTGTTTCTCAACCTTGGCAACTTGAAGATGTCCGGACTTCAACTCCCAGAATTCCCCAGCCAGCATTCGCTGGCTGGGGAATTCTGGGAGTTGAAGTCCGGACATCTTCAAGTTGCCAAGGTTGAGAAACACTGCAATAGATACAAACTCAAGGTTAACCGCTCCAAACTCGATTGCGGAAAATACGACTTCAGCAACAGAGTGGTCAACGCCTGGAATGCTCTACCTGACTCCGTTGTTACATCCTCAACACACACACACCCACAGCTTCAACCTCAAACTGTCCACCATGGACCTCACCCCATTCCTAAGAGGTCCGTAAAGGGGGTGTGCATAAGCGCACCAGCCTGCCTTCCGTCCCCATCCTACTGGCTACCACCCGGGGGAGGGCCTTCTCTGTGGCAGCTCCGGCCCTTTGGAACGAACTCCCCGCAGAGATTCGGACCCTCACCTCTCTCCAGGCCTTCTGAAAAGCCGTTAAAACCTGGCTGTGTCGGCAGGCCTGGGGTTGATGAGTTCCCTTCCCCTCTCGACCTGTGTGGTTGTTGGCTATTTTTAAATGCTTGTCTTGTACTTGTGTGTTCCCTTTCCCGCTTGATTTGTTCGCCGCCCTGAGCCCCGCAGGGAATAGGGCGGCATATAAATAAAACAAATCTAAATCTAATCTAATCTACTATCCCCATTTATTTGTACTCATTTCTTATGTACATACGTATACCTGCTTATATGTTTATGTGTTATATTCATACTTCTTTTCTCATTCAAGGTTGACAAACCAAATAAATAAAATAAAATAAAAACAAACCATCAACTGTGTCCTGAACTGCCCGTGATATTTAAAACTTGGAAACTCAGCTCTCAATGCATCGAATGGAAGCCCCTAAACAATTCTTGCTGAAATGACTTACTCTGGCCTCCAGGCACGGCTCTGTCTAATCGAATCTCCCTCTCTTTGCTTCTCACAGATTGATTACACCGGTTGCGGCATTAACCCAGCACGCTCTTTCGGCTCTGCTCTGGTGACCACTAACTTTGTCGACCACTGGGTAGGTTTTCCCATCAGAATCCCAAGCCGGACGTGGGCCTGGTGGAAGGGGGCTAAACCGAGAATCCCGCGGTGGGATAGAAGAGTTTCGTGAAAATCACGTTTGAGCTGCTTTATCCTGTCACTTCAGGATAAAACTGGGGTGCGGGGTGTGGGGGGAATGGCAAAAACGAATGATGAGCAGAAGAAAACACAGAGAGAAGCAGTTTAAAAAGCAGAAGGAATCGATGGAGGGGCTTTCCCTTCAAATGTTTTGCGGTGATGGTTTCCAGCAATGGTTTACACACACAGACACACACACATACCACGTATGCGCACACAACAACCACTGCTGGCAATCATCACCCGAAAAGGCTCTGCTTGTCTCTCTGCTTCTAAAAAGCAAGGGACATCTCGGCTGCCGAACGCTGAACTTCGATCGGATGACCATGGTGCAGTGGTCGTAAGTGCGAGGACCAGTCCTCAGTCCCTTTATTCCAGCACCATTGTGAGTTGGAAAAGGTCGCTAAAGGAACGGTTACAAGCCGAGGACTTTCAGTGTAGTCATTTTGCAAGTTCCCTAATGGTTTTCTTGCAGACATTTCGTGACTTGGCTAGGTAACGTCATCAGTGCTTGGAGGGGGGGGAGGAGGAGGAGGAGGAAGCAGAAACTGTGACACCCTTGGTGCCCTCTGAGCTTGCTTCTTTTCTTGAAGGTGTTTTGTGACCCAGCTAGGTAACATTATCAGTGCTAGAAGCTACAATCCCACTCCCTTCTAGGACTGATGATGTTACCTAATTGGGTAATTAAACGTCTTCAGGCAATCAACCAAGCTCAGAGAGCAGTAAGGACCCCACAGTCCTCTTCCTCCTCCACCAACACTTCCTCCTCCTCTCTGGAAATCCCCCTGCCTTCTAGCATTGATGATGTTACCTAGTTGGGTCACAAAACTCCTGCAAGAAACCCCCCCAAACTCAGAGAGAGCCAACAACCCTACAGTCCTCCTTCTCCTCCTCCTCCTCTTCTCCCCCTCCTCCTCTTCTCCCCCTCTTCCTTGTAACCCCTTCCCTTCTAGCATTGATGATGTTATTTAGTTGGGTCACGAAACTTCTGCAAGAAAAACCCCAAGCTCAGAGAGCACCAAGGGCACCACAGTTCAACCTCGAGCTCCAAATATTCTCTTGCACCATTTGGGGTAGAGAGTAGAATAGAATAACAGAGTTGGAAGGGACCTTGGAGATCCTCTAGTCCAACCCCCTGCTTAGGCAGGAAACTCTACACCACTTCAGACAAATGGCTATCCAACATCTTCTTAAAGACTTCCAGTGTTGGGGCATTCACAACTTTTGGAGAAAAGCTGTTCCACTGGTTAATTGTTCTCACTGTCAGGAAATTTCGTCCTTAGTTCTAGGTTGCTTCCCTCCTTGATTAGTTTCCGCCCATTGCTTCTTGTCCTGCCCTCAGGTGCCTTGCAGAATAGCTTGACTCCCCCTTCTTTGGGTCAGCCCCCCCGAGATATCGGAACACTGCTCACAGGTGCTCATTTACCATTTTCTTCCCAGTTTTAAAGACTACCCAACACACATTGAGGGAATACGCAGGGCAGTGATGGATTGATGGCTGGGCATTCTGCCAACCTGGGGAGTGGGCACAGCTGTATTGCTCAGTGCTCTCTCTGTGTTGAATTTCAGGTCTTCTGGGTTGGCCCCTTTTTGGGGGGTGTCATCGCAGCTCTCATCTACGACTTCATCCTGGCACCCCGGAGCAGCGAGATCAGGGAGCGCATAAAAATTTGGACCACCGGAAATGTGGAAGAATACGAACTGGACGCCGACGACTCGCGAGTAGAGATGAAACCGAAATAAAGGGAAGAGGGGACTGGGAAAACGAAGGCACCCATTTCTGAAAACGTGCGCTCTCTCTCTCTCTCTCTCTCTCTCTCTCTCTCTTTTTTTACACCTGCATCTGTTTGATCAGTATTATAGACTCTAAAACAACCTGCCATTTTTCCAAATGTCTTTTTTTTTTTGGTGTAAGCCACGATGATTTTCCTTCTTTCTGTGTTTTTTATTTTTTATTTCCTCCCCAAATTTCTAAACTGGGGGTGGGGATCATTTTGGGAGAATTGAAGGGAGATGTTTCTGGAGGCTGGTATTTTTGTTCTGGAGCCAAAGGGATAGGTGCCTTTGGGGGAAAAAAATAGATCGTTTTTGTATTATTTCAGCCCAGGAAGAGTTTGCCTGCAGCAGGGAATAAATATGGAAATATATCATCCAGAGAGAAAGAAAAAAGATCTTAGTCTAAGACCCAGAAATTTGATGGAAGAAAATAAATTTGGTAGAGTTGTATTTAAGTACAATGACAATAAAGATGATACTTACTTAGAGAATCTGGGCCATTTGGAGATATTAGGAAAATAAACATTTCCCCCCCCCATTGGTAGAGAGTAGAATACACACACACACACACACACACACACACAAACACACACACACACATGTTTTGATTCTATGCCCTCAAATGAGCGTTGACTCATAATAGCGACATTATAGAGCCATGCTCCTCAGCTTCCGCAACTATAAGCTGGGTGGACTTCCACTCCCAGAATTCCGCAGCTGAGAGTTGAAGTCCATACCAGTTAAAGCACGTGGGGTGAGGGAATTCTGGGAGTTGAAGTCCACTCATTGAAGTCCACTCATCTTAAAAGTCACCAAATTTCACAAAGGCGGACATACAATAGGTAGGCCTTCCCCAGGATGATGGTGCAGATACCACTCCTAGAATCACTGAATGTCCAACCCACTGCCCAATGCAGGAAGCGCTACTATGGCATTCCAGAGAGATGCCTTTTCCTGTCAAAGCAACTCCAGGTATCCAATCACCACCCAAGGCATCCTATTTGATTGTTGATGGCCTCTTATCTTTAGAAAGGTCTCTTGCCATGGGGGAGACCTCAACTGACGTCATCGGGACCAACTAACTAATCAGATTCCTTAAGGCAATGAAGTCCTTCCCCATTCAGGAGCAGGTCCAGCTTCACTGGTTACCAGTTTCTGGAAACAGGGGCCCTAGAATATCAAATATCGTAACACAATAACAGAATACAGAACAGAAAGGGACCTTGGAGGTCTTCTAGTCCAACCCCCTGCCTAGGCAGGAAACCCTATACCATTTCAGACAAATGGCTGTCTGATCTCTACTTAAAAACCTCCATCGATGGAGCATCCATAACTTCTGGAGGCAATTTGTTCCACTGATTAATTGTTCTCCCTGTCAGGAAATTCCTCCTTAGTTCTAGATTGCTTCTCTCCTTGATTAGTTTCCATCCGTTGCTTCTTGTCCTGACTTCGGGAGCTTTGGTTGATAGGTTGACCCCTTCTTCTTTGGGGCAGCCCCTCAAACATTGGAAGACTGCTATCATGTCTCCCCTGTTCCTTCTTTTTATTACATTAGACATATCCAGTTCCTGCAACCGTTCTTCATATGTTTTAGCATCCCTGTATCTAACTCACTCCTGACCACTTATAGATTATATTCCCACACGGCCCTAAAAAGGGTCCCTTGGCTAATAACCAGTCCTTGCTTAGCATGTACATATGTGTGGGCCAGTTAGCATGTTATCCAAGCCGTGGAAGAAGAAAAATGTACTTTGATAACGAAGCTACACATATGATGAGACTACCGCCATAATTTACAGCAGTGGTTCCCAAACTTGGCAACTTTAAGACTTGTGGACTTCAACTCCCAGAATTCTCCAGCCAGCAGAGTTCTGCTGGCTGGAGAATTCTGGGAGTTGAAGTCCACAAGTCCTAAAGTTGCCAAGTTTGGGAACCACTGCACTAGTAGAACCACAATGTCAGGGAGAGAATGGTGATGTGGAGAGAGTGGAGGAGGTGTGTATTGTATCCCTACAATCTAGAGATGCATGGATCTCCATCAGAAGATTCACACTTTCCAAGACTTTTCTTGGAAAGATAAGAGTAGTCTTGAACAGCTGATGAATTTGGCCATTTAAAGTATGATGTGCAAATCCTTTAGAACAGAGCATCTTTCTTTCTTTCTTTCTTTCTTTCTTTCTTTCTTTCTTTGCTGGCTGGAGAATTCTGGGAGTTGAAGTCCACAAGTCTTAAAGTTGCCAAGTTTGGGTACCACTGACTTACAGTAAAAGTCTCTCTTCTCTAAAGTGTGGTGACATCCATATGTTTATTTCCTAACTTTATTTTCTACGGATGCCAACTGTCCCTCTGAAACTGTGACAATTTCACAGTTGCCTTGCTGGTGAACATAAAGTGCATTGATTGCTCACTGTGTATCTTCCAGACACGTTCCAAAATAAAACTCCAAGTAAAAAAAATATCTGGAATATCTGAATGTATTGATGGTTCCCCCCCCCCCTCCATAGGAAACGGTGGCTGGTTTTAAAATATATCGCTTGATTACAACTCGGCACATGTTGGATATATGATATCGATCTGGGAGATCAAACTGAATTAAAATTCGGGTTGTGTCCTCCCATAAGTGGGCAGCCAGCTTAACTGAATGTAAGGGAGATTCTGAATCGTTGCAAATTTTTGCATAGAAGTAGTCCGTGCCTTAAAACCTTTCATTTGGTGACTGTTTGAAGTTGCAACAGCTCTGAAAAATGGGACTTACGACTGTTTTTCACACTTACGACCGTTGCAGCATCCCATGGTCACGTGATTAAAATTCTTGGCAACCAACTCATATTTATGACGGTTGCAGTGTCCAGGAGATTCCCCTTTTGCAACCAGTAAATTCAGTGGGGAAGCGAGATTCATTTAGCAACCATATTAGCTTACCAACCACAGGGATTCACTTAAAAATGGTGGCAAGGAAAGTAAAAACCGGGGGGGGTGGGGGATTCACTTAACAGCTGCCTCGCTTAGCAACTGAAACTTTGGGCTCAATTGTGGTTGTAAGTCGAGGACTACTTCTATTATGTAAGACTGAACTATGTTAGGACAAGCCAAACTTTATGTAAATCTTCTCAGATATGTTCCTAATTGTGATCTACCATTATTTCTGTTGCATATAAAAAAAAAACCTGCCAAAACAAGTTGTGTTTTTTATCTCGTGAATATATATATATATATATTAGATTTTTACAACTCCTGGTAAGCTCCAATTATGGGAGGAAGCTAACTGCTTCCATCATCTGTCAATCAGCTCGTCACAAGAGTCCATCACGACAGAAACCCAATATTTTTACTGTTGCCTTTGTTATATATGTGTTTTATTTGTGCTGATAAATAAATAAAGGGAGACTAGTATAGATCTATTTCAAGCTATTTAGCTCTCATCAGCTAGCCATACCCTCTCATCAGCTAGCCATACCAGTAAGGGTATGGCTAGCTGATGAGAGCTAAATAGCTTGAAATAGATCTATACTAGTCTCCCTTTATTTATTTATCAGCACAAATAAAAAACATATACATATACATATACATATACATATACATATACATATACATA